TTTTCCTGAATAAGAAAATCAGGATCTATCTTTTTGCATGCAATGTTGTGTGTATTTTGTTATTGGTTATAAAGATAAATATAATTTGATAGAATTTATTCAAATAAATTTAACTTTTGCATGTATTTTCCCCCTTGAATAACAAGATCTTCATCTTCATTATAAAGAACCAGATTTCCAAAGCTGAGGTAGTAAGTGAGTGGTACTGTAACTCTGAGGTGCCACATGCTTCTGTTAAACTGTTGTGGTTTAACCCCAGCCAACAACTAAGCCCCATACAACCACTCGCTCACCCCCACACCAGTAGGATTAGGGAGAGAACTGGAAGGGGTATAAGCTAGGAAACTAGTGGGTTAGATAAAGGCAGTTAAATAGGGAAAGCAAAAGACACACAAGCAAAACAAGGAATTCAATCACCACTTCCCATGGGCTGTGAGGTGTTCAGCCATCCCCAGGAAAGCAGGGTCCCATCACATGCTATGGTTACCTGGGAAGACAAATGCCAAACATCTAAACATCCTCCCCCACTTCATATACTGAGCATGATGTCATATGGTATGGAATGTCCCTTTGGTCAGTTAGGGTCACCTGTCCCAACCTCCCATGCACCCCCAGTGCAACCCCCATGCAACCCATACCAGCCCCTGTGAAGAAAATGAACTCTACCTCGGCCAAAAACAGCACATAAAGCTAGTGAGCCATTTGCCTTCAGAATCAGAAAATTCAAAACACTAAATAAAGCTCTTATGTGTAGCTGTCATCGTTAGTCCTGAAATTAATACTAACCGAGAATGATACTTCTTGTTTTAGCTGTTGTCATCAATGATATTCAGATCAAGAAAGACAGAAAAGCATACATCAAAAAAAAGTTCATTCTTGTTTAAGCAATTCCCAGAGAAGAATGTCAATACTTTCAGTGAGTGTGTTCAAAGTGGCAGCTGCTCGATTGCTGACTCAATGCAGCACATTGGGAAGTTGCCTCCTGATCTCTATGGCGTGAAGTTATCTTTCCATCTTACACTTCCCTCTGCCTTACACACACCCATTTAAAACTGTTTAATGGATCATTAGTATTTCTTAATGTGGGTTATGCTGTGTAAGCCATCTAAAAAGTATGGCTTATTTTCCATAGGTTCTGAGTATTTCTGGATTAAAGATTTTACTTTCTTATATGTTAAATAAAACATTGAAGACTTGAATTAATTACTTCTGATACAACATAGGCCATGGGGTTTCACACAGAGAATCCCACAGCCAAGCAACTCACATCCAGCTAAAGCAAACCCTACCAAAATATTCCTCTGATGAAACATCAAAGTGGGTCTCGTTTCCACTCTGGATCTACTCTCCCTCTCACTTTTTATATTCCATTATAGTTTGGCTACATCCCAGCTGCATACATGTATCATCAGGCCTATACTTTGGCCTGCCCTAAACCCCTGCATCTGAAGTCTGCAATTGCCCTTGAGTAAAATCATCCACACTGTCATTTGATGCATAAATATTCACACTTCTCTAGCTCCAGTAAAGCCTGCTCAGCTCTCACTGCTCACTCACACCAACTACAATACTGTGCTTCTCACATGGCTTCTACCAAAGGGAAAATGGAGGGCCAGACCTATTGGGGTTCTCTTTACCCTGGTTTTCCTTTCTCTTTTCTTAGAGTGAGAACAACTTTTACAGAGACCCTTCCAGATTGAACATGTACAAGGGAATAGTTTAGAAGTATTTCCTTAAATATGTGTGGGTCTGAAATGGAATTATGGTGGGATCTCAGTAACTCTAAATCTTTAAAAAAATCCCCTGATACTATGCTCTAACACTTATGTACACACCCATACAATAGAATGGAGCCCTTCTGATATGTATTTTAGATGTATTTTGAAAGTAATTATTACTGAGAAAATACAATAAAAGGTTTATTGCTACACTGTGATGTAATGTATTTAACACAATTGCAGAATATGCTATGGTTCTACAATACACCACATTCTACAATTCAAATATCAACATGGTATTTGAAACAAAAGGAAAAAGGATATAATTGGAAATGTTCAAAATACTTGTTTGGTTTTGGAATGCATTCCCATTATAAACATTGAGATTTCCCCAAGAAGCAGAAGTTCTGAATTTCAACATATTTTTATTCTTCTGTGGCTGTGTCCTGCCTTTTATTTGCTCCTGGGCTAGAACTGGAACCTGTGGGACCTGACCAGATACACTCCATGTGTGGCTTCGTGCAGGAATGGTTTTATTTGGACAAGTGACATTTCTACTAGTCCATCAGACACCAATAACCAGTAGGCAAATACACTTGAGAAACCCTTATACAGTAATGGGAATGAGATAAAATGAACAAATTGGAAAGAAATACCCTAAATGTTCATGCTGAATTGTAGCTATAAAACCAGAGAATAATTTGACATGAAAGGAGCAGAGTGTACCTGGAAAAATATCACTCTGTCTCTGGTAGAAATTTTTCTTACCTAAATCACGCTGAAAATCTGGCTCTTTTGTGGCTCTGGCATTTCTCAGATTTGAAATGTACTTTTGAAGGTATGGCAGGAAAGTAATTCTCAGTCATTTGGGAAAAAAGAAGAAGAAACAGCTGCAGCAGCTTGTTACAGTTTTAGACTTAAATAGTGTGTTGATAGAAGAAAATCACTGGATGTCTTTGTGGTTATAATGGTGGAATTGTCTGGTGGGAGAAAATCTTCATGGACCAAAGAACAACTATTTCTACCTTTATATGCCCTTGGGGTTTTTTTTAAATATATCTAAAGCACCTCTTTTATGGTAACAGGGTTAGCAACCAGGGTGGTGTCTCTGAACTCTGACCACAAATCTCACCATGCCACTTCCCTAAGTGCACTCTGCAGCAAGCTGGTTTTGGCACTGTCAAAAGGATGGTAATGAGAATTCCATCACCACTTTTCTTCCAGCTCCTTCCATTGGATTTCCTGCACTGAGGCAGAACACTGTGTGTGTACAGTGAGAAAACAAAAAAAAAAAACCATAATATTGTGTCATCAATTACATCAGAGAAAAGAAGAAGAGCACAGCACTAGAGATCTGCTAATTTAGGGTGGCTGGGAAGTCCTGGGCAGTTGGGACACCTACTGTTAAGTTCTCTGTCAGTGACACGGCTAAGTGTCCCATAGCCTAGTGAGAACACCTCTGTGGGGAGGCATGTGGGCAGGCAAACTGAGGACACCTCCCTGGGGGATGGGTCTGGGGTACCCCAGACTTGTGTGCTGGACCCAGTCAGTGCATGTTCGATGCTTACAGAATGACAGAGGAGCCCCAGTGGAACTGGGGCTGGAGGGCAAGTCTCCCTGCTCCCCAGGGAGTCTGGGGTCAGTTCTCCCACATCACACCACAGTGAGGATGTTTGAGTATAATTTTAAGGACGTGTTCAAGCTTGCTTGAGCCCCAGAGGCTGGCTGAGCATAGAGGTGTCTGGCTGCAGAGAGGATTCAGCAATTCTCACTTGGGCTGGAGGTAGCGTTGGAAGCCTTGAGGCCAAAACGTGGCTCAGCACAGCTGCTTGGAGATGCCTCCCTGTCACCCAGGGAACCCCAGCCTTCACTCTTTTGGGCCCCAGGAGGCCAAAGAATGGTCTGTGGTGCAGGTGAAGTCCATCATCGTGGTCTTGCACATACCGACAGAGTAGCTTTTGAAAGAGTAGCCCGTGATGGATGAAGAGACCCCTCTCCCCCCGAGGCTGCCAGCGTCAGGCAAAGGTAAACGTTGACACACAGTTTCAGTTTTAGTTCCGTTTAATTTAGAATTTAGTACTTAAATTGAGAACCTTTAGAAAAGGCCGACAGCATCCCTCCCCGGACAGCCTCCTCCGCCCGGCGGACGCGGCTCCGCGGTGCTGTGGGTACCAGCCCGAGAGCACAAAGGCTGGCAGGGCCTGGGCGGGGCGGTGGGCGCCGGGCAAGGCAGAGGTCCCACCCTCGGGCAGCCCCTGCTCGTACCCCTCAGCGCGGAAACAGTCGGGTTGGAGCGTTTTGCTGGCACGGCCCGGCGGCTGCGGCGGGAGCTCTGTCCGGACACTGCTGGGCCGGGGGGCCGGGGCTGAGGGCAGGTGTCCGGTCCCCCCTGCGCGGCTGCCCCCGCCGGGTCCTCACCGGGCTTGTCCCTTACCGGGACTTCCAATTATCGCTGAAGCTTAAGTCCTTAATTTTCTTGGCTGCAAACCCGGTAACGAATCGCTCAGACTTTGTTTTTCCACTGCTCCCGAGGCTTGATTTATTGTGTCTCTGTTATCGCACAATCGGGCTTCGTTCCAAATGTTATTCTGAGCTAATTCTATATCCCGGTATTTATTTTGACTGTCCCTTCTCATTAGCGTTACTGATTTTTATTCGCTCCCCGTTCCCTGTTAAATCCCCCTCTCTGCGCGCCCGGGCTCGCCTCATCCCGTTCGTGTTTCCATCCCGCGTTGGACCCACGCGTGTGGGTCGGGCCCCCGAGCGGTGCCTGGGCAGCCACGACCCCGCTCCCTCCGCGCGTCTCACCCGGGGGAACCCTCCCGGCCCCGGGAACCTCAGCGAGCCGGAGAAGAGGCGGCAGAGCTGGGAGGAAGGACTTGCTTTTAACAGGGCATCGCCCGCGCTCCCAGCCCAGAGATTAAATTTCTCTCCTCCAGCAAAACCGTTACTTTATCCTAAGAAAAACAGCGCGGACGGGGCGAGCGGCGGCGGACCCGCCCGGAACACCGGGGCCGGGCCCGGCGGAGGGAGGATGAGAGGGGAGCGGTGGGGCGCTGCCGCCCCCGACAGCTCCGTGATGAATGACCCATCCCGCCGGAAGGGGCGGTCGGCTGCGCCCCGGGCTGGCGGGAGCCCGGGCGAACCGAAGGTGCCGACCAGCCCCCGCCGCATCCACCGCCGCTGACGGCTTTATAAGCGGCGCCGCGGGCCGGACGGGGCGCGACGCGACGTGGTACGGGAACTGGGAGAGGAAGAGGAGAGGAGAAAGAAACGGAGCGGAACGGGCTGCACCGGGCTGTCCCGCTCCGCACTGGGCGGGAACGGTAAGTTCATCCCCGGGCCGGGCACTGCGAGGTCCTGCCAGGTCGCGGGGAGCCGGGTTCGCCCGGCGGGGTGCGGGATGGGGACGCAGCAGCCACCGCGTCCCGCACCCCTGGGCGGCCGGCGAGGGTCACCGTGAGCTCCTCGGTGAGCGCCGGTGCTATCCTCGCACATCGACAGGCAAGTTCCTATTTCCCTGCGCCAGAGAAAGGATTTTCCTTACCTGTTACCAGAGTTATGCAGAGGGCAAGGTCATTTTAAAACCGATGCAAAATAATTCAGATTCACTATATTCCCCCTCACCCCAAGGAACAACGGAAAAGTTTAACTGAGGTTTCCACCCGTTTCTTTTCTATGTGCTCTGCTCTGGCGTTTTCCATCTTTTCCTTGTCTGTGTGGGCAGGTCGCCTTCACTGCCGTTTCGTTCACATGGAATGTAAGATTAAAATAAGTGTCGTGCCGGTTGTTTTGGTAAAAGATTTTAAACTAATTATGTCTTTGTAATGTCATGTTAAAACACCAATGCGTCTGCCCGCATTAGAAATACTGCACTAGAAATGCTTTAGAAACAATACAAATACTTTAACTTACTTTCACAACCCCAGTTCTCTCTGCACATCAGGCGGCAAGTGGGTGTTTGCAAAAATTACCCTCTTTCTTGTAAAATTCTGAAGGGAAGATGACTGTTGCCCAGAGGCATTTTATTTACTTTAGTTTTCAGCAGCATTTTTTGGATCATGAGGTTCTGGTGACTCCTGGGTTTGTGGTGAGCACAGCACCCAGAGTGTGTGTCCTGATCACACCGGAGAGAAGAGTGATGCTGCCCAGTCCCAGTGTGCAACAGAGGAGATCCTGGTGCAGGAATCACCGTGGTTTGGCTACACATATCCACACACCTACAACAGATCCTGTGTTTCTGCGTAGCAGATTTTCACAGACCATTTGCTGTTTGTACTTGATGAGAAGTCTGACAGTGGAGAAATTTAATTCAGAATGAAATCTCTGATTTCCACAGATGAAGCCTTTTACATTTTTTTTAATATAGGCCTAGGATTTCATCTGATGTAGATGTGAATCTCCTAAAACAGAAACTCCTACTCCCAGGGGCACCCAAGGAGATGAGGCTTTTAGGTATGTGCATTACTTTGTAGTATTCCAGTTCTAAATCTGGTTACACACTAGCACGGCGAAATCAAAACTGTGTGTAAACCAGCCTTAGTCATGTATTTAATCGGAGGAGCAGGTATTTTTACTAACTCAGTCTGTCCATATCCTTGGATATTCTGGACTTCTCCAGCAATCAGGGAAGATTTCCTTGTATCAGTGGGAATTAGATGGTATGGCAAATGAAAAGTCCTGCTGACAAACATAAACTTCTGCCAGTTTTCATGATTGTCTTAATGATTGTCTTGATGTCATCTCTGCAATGATAATTTTTTTAAAACTAAAATGCATCCAGATCTGACTGTGCCTGACACAATGAGAAAACACCAAGAAAAAAGCACATAGGATTTTTTTTTATTTTAAGCTAGAGGCTAGGACCATTTTTCAGACCTTGCTCTAGACAAGCTCATGTGGTCTTAATGTGAGCTTTATTTTATATCAATCATAAATACTGCAAGAAAAAAGAAGAGTGACATTTTTTCTCTTTGGTTTACAGCTACAATGTGCACAGAATATTTCACAAATAATTTCAGTCTAACCTGTACTGATATTGAAGAGATCATGACATGATAAAACTGTGAACCAGATTAACATCAAATTAATCACAATAGAACACCTGAAATAATAACAATAATAATATCTTTTAAATACCATCAAAGTATTGCAAAAAAGATTGTTTAGAAACCGTTCCTTGTTTTTGCTAGAAATCTTTGACTTCAGAGTGTGCTTGAAATGCTTTGCAAAATCAAGACCCAATTCTTGTAAATTTAGATCTTCACTAATTTATGTGCATCAATTTTATTTAAAATTTTAATATTACATAGTTTTTTTATGAAATTAAAAGGTTTAATAACTTGTCCTTGCCCTTGTCTAGCCAGACTGTCACAGAAACACCTGAAAGCTGAAATTTGGGACTACCAGGAGGGCTGCTTGACTGAGGACAACAGGATCGGGTATTATTCCAGCTAAGAAGTGCTACACTTTGGGGAATATTGATCGAGGAACTGAATTAATTAAAAGATTGTGACTTGTATTAGAGGCAGAACTGACTGACCAGCTTTTCTGAAAGCTGGGAAAAGACCTTGTGGACATTATTTTCAGCTTTGCTCAAAATAAGTTTTTGTCACTGTTTTCAAAAGGTTCTCTTGCCCTGCAATGGCTATAATAGAGGTCAAAAGATTCTTTTGAAATTCGAAAATGTAGATGAAAAAAAGCACAGAAATTATTTTAGTAACATTAGGGGTGGGACGACAGGAAAAGTCAGTTCCTGATCCTTTAAAATTATGGACCAAATTTTGCCTTTCAAAAGCTGAGTCCGCGCTCTGTGGCTCCACTTATTGCTGCATCTGAAAATGATATTTTTCTTTCTGTAATCCATGAAGCACTGATCACCTGTGAGACTGTTGATAAAATGATTGCAGCTAAATAGAAAATATATAAATAGTCCCACATCCCAAACCGTACGAAGAATATGTTTTAAAAATTGCATTTAGCCTAATTTTTAGTAATTTGTAAACGGAAACCACTGTGTCAGTGCTGCTGAGTGGTGCCTGCTGGATTTTCTCAAAAGCCATTTCTGGGCTACGAGTAACAAAAAATTTGCTCAGTGTAATACTTTCAAAAAAAATTATTAAATCCCAATCATTGAAGAGTTTAACTTCTGTTTCTCTGCCTGTGTGAAATCAAATTTGTAAGCAGCCAGTAGAAAAGCAGCTCGCACAGCTGCATCCCAGCTTTTGCTGGCACAGGCAGCGCTTGCATTTCTGATCATCTTTGTGTTTAGAGAGTTTCGGCGCAGAGTTGCAGCTGCCCTTAGAGATGCTTTTCTTGCTTGCAGGACCCTCCCTGCCAGGGAAGTCACCAATGGACTGTGGACACTTAGCTGGCAGCAGCGAGGAGATCTCCAGCCCGGGCGTAGAGCCCGATTCCCTGCTGCCTTCTGCTGCCGGCGGCAATTCCTGCCCTCCCTTGGTGGGTGGGCAGCGGGCTGGGGCACCCCCGGGCCGACCCGCGGCCGCCAACGCCGCTCGGGAGCGCAGCCGGGTGCAGACCCTGCGCCACGCCTTCCTCGAGCTGCAGAAGACTCTGCCCTCGGTGCCGCCCGACACCAAGCTCTCCAAGCTGGATGTGCTCCTTCTGGCCACCACCTATATCGCGCACCTCACTCGCAGCCTGCAGGATGAGGAGGAGTCACCGGGAGAGGGCTTGGGCACCCTGCGAGGGGATGGATACCTCCACCCTGTCAAGGTAGGGGAGCTGAGCAGCAGCTACCACCTTCTGTCAGTGAAGAAGGACATTGGCCTTAGATACGTAGATGAAACTAAAGATTTCAAACTCATGTATTGTTGGTAGAGGTAATACATGAAAATCCTGCCTGGAGCAACCATTGTGCTTAGGTGCTAGAGGCCTGATGGAAATATTTTGGAGCTTTGTCCCTCCGGCTTCAGGGACTTTGCACCAAAATATCAAATATAATGTAGATCCAAACCTAGTCGGACTTGATCCCTTGGAACTGAAAGCAGAGGGCAGCACCAGAGAAGTACTGGCACCTCCTTGTTCCCCACATGGAAACCTTGGTGGTCTCCCACCAGACCCACTGGTTCTGCTGGTAGCGTGTGTTTGTGGTGAGGTGATGCACGGTCCCGCAGCAGTGACCCCAGCCACGGCTGAGCCTGCTCTTCTTCCCCTGCTGAGGCAGCCACAGTATGGAAGGGGGTAATAATTACCAGCCATGTGTTAATTCCTTCCATAAAAGTGCTTTTATGAAGCATTTATTTTGTCTAGTTGGTATATAGTCTTCCCTTCGTCAAAAAAAATCACAGTGATACAGAAGTAATGAGAAAGGGGAACTGCTCTTGGAGAGGGCCTGGGGCTGGAAACTGTTTCCAAATGCATTGCTCACTGACTGATGGGGCTCAAATACCACGGGATATTTTCTTTGGCACTGGTCACAGGGAATGACTTAGAGTGCTGAGGTGTTTTTTTTTTTTTTTTTTTTTTTTTTTTTTTTTTTAAGAGTCTGAATTCAGAATGATTTAATTAAGTTAAATTTGTGAAGTAATCTCTAATTTCTATAAAGTGCCTAATTCACAGGGAGTTCCTTGTTCACAGTGTTGGTTGCTGTAAAAAGCATGATGTGAACACAGGCTTCTGGGGCCATTTAAATGATTAGCAGGCTCATTAAGAAAGCAAAACCTCTACATCAATTAGAAGATGGCTATAATTTAAGTAAAAAAATATTATTATGTATTTCAAAATAAGTTCAAAATAGCTTCTGTTAGCTTCCTCAGTCAGAGTGAAAGGACACAGGTACATTTTGTCAGCTGCCGACTACTAATGGCAGAAAAATACTCTTAAATAGCTGCTGCAGCAGTTAAATGATCCAGATGCACATTTCCCAGGCTACTGGAATAGAGCAATATTGGATTCACTTAAGCAATTATTTTTTATAATTTTATTTATATCTCATTTAAATGCATCCAGTTTTGAGATTCTATCAGCCTAACCAATATTTCTACTATTCCTGGTGGTAAGTGCATTTTTTTAGTTGGCACTGGATGAAAGTGTCACAAACAAATCCTAGCAGGTGCTTCAAAAACCCCAAAGTGCAGGTTATGAGACAACCTGTACAGATAAAGACTTTAACTGCATTGATATACCAAGTACAGTAAATGCAATTAGTGAGAAAAGTAAAATATTCAAGTACAGCTGTGTGTACACCAAATGAAAAATATAATTAATGACTAAACTCAGATGTCTCATTGGTGACAAACCCATAACATCATACTTGAAACAAAATTACTAAATGAGATCGTACAGTCTTTCCAAGTCAGAATATGCTGCTGCTTAGTCTTTAAATAAAAGAGTTCAGATGTAACTGCAGTATTAAGCTTCTCTTACCCAGAGGTGCATGACTGTTTGCAGTAAATAATTTGCTGGGGGTTAAGAAACTCAAGATGTCAGAGTAAGTTTTTAACACCAGGGTAATTGGTGATTCCAAAAATCAGTGAGTGGAAAGATTAATTGTCGCATCTGAAATAGCTGAACAAGAAGCTGCCAGTGTTGCCAAGGAGCAACCACATTCAATTCCCTTTACCACACAGTTTTTAGCAGCCCCTGTGCTGTGGTCAGTGTTGTGGGAGTTGGCACAGATAGGTGTGCATATAGGGCTGCAATCCCCGCAGGTGCAGGTGTATCCCCATAGTATCCCTGGCACCTTGAAAAGGAATGTTTGGTTTTACTGTAACAGAACATCCGCAACACAAACTGCGTGAGGATGACTGACCAGCACGGGCTGCTCCTGTCTGCTGGATCACAGCAGGGCTGGGAGCTGTGCCTTGAGATTAATTACCAAAGCAAATATCCAGGCTGAGGCTTCCTTACCAAGCTCCTAATATTTCCCAACAAATGACAAAATGGGAAATGTCTGGTGATAGCAACAATTTCCTATTTTCTCGTACTGTGATTCCATCAACACTTTTCCATCAGCTGTGCTGAGAACTGCAGTCAGAGTGCAAAGCTCCCAGGTATCTCAGCTCTGTGCTTGTCTCCTCTCTTACAGAAGTGGCCCATGCGTTCCAGGTTATACATTGGAGCCACAGGACAGTTTCTGACTCACTCGGCACAAGGAGACAGCGCAAACCATGGGGAAACATCAACAACTTCACAAATCTAATCTCCCTTCTGGCTTTTAAAAAAATTGTTATTTATTACACCTTATATATATATTTAAGTTAAAAAATAATATCTATAGACAAACTACAATTCCTGAAATACTGTTTGTGGAGGAGAATGAATTGATTCTTAAATGTAATTAATACCTCATTAAGTTAACGTGATGCATTTCTATCAGAGGACATTGCTGGGATCTGAATGACGGGATCTGGAGGCGGCAACTGCAGCCACCAACACGAGCAGCAGCCCAAAGGCAGAGCTGCCAGCAGAGTAGGTATCCTTGTTCCCTCTGGGACAAGTGCTGAGGAAAAGAGGAGAGAAGGAGCAGTGGTACTGACCAAGTAGAGAGCAAAGAGGCTTGGGTGACAGGCAAAGGGCAAGTCTAGAATTAGCAGTTGCAATCCCACATGCACCTTCTCCACTGCCTAAAGCCGGGGGCAGAAATCCCCCTGACCACAGCCATCAGGTCAGAGCTTTACCCTTCAGATAATCCTACATGTATGTAGCTATTGCTGGAAATGTGGATGCATGTTCACCTCAAGTAAAAATGTAATGAAACCTGTGTTGCACACAGCGCTGTACGTGGCAGCTGTGTGTTGGGCACTGCTTGTACCCATCCATAGGGTTGTGCTGCATGTTATGGGGTTTAATGTGTGTTTGTTACCCTGGCACTATGTGTCTGCTCACAATACCATGGCTTTCAGTGGGTTCACATATTGATGCAAATGAGCCCAAAGCACTGGCTTGTTCATAGCACACTTGTTCACTTAAATATCTTCTATATTTAGGCAAGAAAAGTTGAAACTATATGCACATATGTCATCTGATGTATCTGTTCTGTAAAACACTGTACTTCTCATATGGTTTGTTATTGCTGAGGTAAACATTTTATTAAATATTATTCAATGAACATTATATATTTTCTCAGTTCCAAAATCTGTATCAGTTTCTCATTGTACAGGACCAACAGTTTCTAATAGTAATATTCTGCATTTATAGATGCTGTCTTCTTTCTGAGGGCTTTACAGTTTAAATTTAAAAATGACATTTAGGAAAACAAAAATACTAGCCAGACCAGCTTTCATAAAAAAAGTATGGTAAAATCTGGAGCTCTCCAGCACCCCGGCAGCGTTCTGAGCTTTTAAGAAGATTGTTCTTTTAAATGGTAAACATACTTTTAATATCTTGAATACATTCAATATATATATTTATTTTAGGCATATTATTTACAATTGTAAGTGGTTTATTAAAAGATGATTATTACATAGCCAGAGCTACATGTCATACAAAAGGTACGGCATTTCGTGAACAAATTAAGTACAAAAGGGCAGTTTTGCATAGAAAAGAATCTGCTCAGAGGAATGTCTGACTTTCAAGAACTGTATGTACTTTCCATAGTAGTAAAAAGTGGGTTAGCACTACCTCTTGTTAGTGGGACAGCTGTTTGTACTTGGAGTTATTAACAGGGAGATGGGAAGGAGTGGCAAAGGGGGTGATAATTAAGATGAAGGTGTGAGAGGACAGTGAGGGATTCCAGGAGGATTATACCCTGCACAAGATGAGGGTGTAAAACACAGACTGCGCTTCGGAAGCACAGAGAATTCAAACCAGTTTTGTATGTCACTGAGATGTAAAGGAATGCCTCAGGCCAGGGGAAGAAGGGCAAGTGAAATCTCAGCCGGCAGTCCATGTCCAACCTGAGCTGCTCTGTGCAGCAACCATCTGATATAAAAACAAGTTGTGGATGAATTGTGCATAATAGACTGGTGTGGGGAGAACACAAAGAGGGATGATGTTTTTCATCAGCTGCATGTGCTTACCTAGCCCAGAGGTGCTGGTTACTTCATTGGCTCTTAAATAATACACCTGGAAGGGACAGAATTCAAGAAAGGAAAAAAAAAAAAAAGACAGCTCCCTGGTTTTAAAGGCTTCTTCCTTTAAATGTAATTGAAAGATTCTCACTGCTTATCCATGAAGTAGAGGTTCAGCTTGGGTATGAGGAAGAATTTCTTCACAGAAAGGTTGTTAAGCATTGGAATGGCTGCCCAGGGAGGTGGTAGAGTCACCATTCCTAGAGGTGTTCAAGAAAAGACTGGACATGCCACTCAGTGCCATGGTCTACTTGACAAGGTGGTGATTGGTCAAAAGTTGGACTCAGTCTTTTCTGACCTGTGATTAAGCATGGAAAATTGACAATAGTAAAGGTCAAAAACATGGAAAGTTAAGAATGGATGGCACAGAGAACACATCTTTACTCTGACACTTATCACTGAGTTGCAGGATCAGTATCAGTTTCTCATCGTACATGATAATACTCTGAATTTATAGATGCTGTCTTCTTTCTGAAGACTTCAGTTTAAATTTTAAAATGACATCTAGGAAAAAAAAGGAAAACAAAAACATAGCCAGAGCAACTTTCACTAAAAACATACGGTAAAATCTGGAGCTCTCCACCACCCCTGCGGTATTCACAATGGAGTATTTACAATGCTCAGAAGACAGCCAGAGGATCGGAGCAGCAAACATTGTAGCTACTTTGTACCCACAACATTTGCAAAAATTGTGGCCACATCTGTAGGACTTTACCAGCATTTTATAGACTTATTAAAAGCCAATAAGAATATGCAGAATTACAGCAGTAGTTTTTCATTTGAGAAGAGCTCCCCACACTAATGAGTTGGGATTTTTTTTTTTCACTGAGACATATTCTGCATCAGAATTTTTATTCCTTTCCTTCCAGAACCAAGACACCAGGCAAGGCAACCCACTCCCTTCGACCAATACGAGAGCTCTAGTCTACCACCAATTTACACACCAGGATCACAACAGAGCCCCTAAGCCTGTTCGTTTAAAACATGTTTGGTTCTAATATTACACTTCCTAGGAACAGTTAATATCCTCGTATGCTGAAATACAAGAGTTTGGCATTTAGCACTGGCAATATGCAAGGCTTTAGGAATAAAAGTGTACAACGTTTACACATTGCTACCAAAAGGTGGCATTTTTCATGGAGTAACCTAAAAGACCTCGGTTATTGTCAGCACAGCTTTTCCCTCTGAGGGATGGGGAAGGTGAACTTCCCACGGCCACACGCAAACACCCTGCCCGTATAAAGCCGGCTGCGCAGGGACCTGTTTTTCCTAGTGCTCGCGGCTGTAACTCCAGCCCCGTGCCCTGCGGTCACGCACTGCGCTCCCTCAACACACACAGCCCGCCAGTCACAGCCTTTCCCCTTTTCCCTGTGCGCGCGCAGCCGGAAAGCGCCGCGCGCCTGTCCCGCCCCCGCCGCGCGGAGTATTTAGGGAGATCCCGCCACACGAGCTTCCTTTTCCACGCGGCCCACGGCAGCTTGGGAGGGGAGTGGAGCCGAGCGGCACCGGAGCGACCGCGTCTGCCCGCCCGGGACTCGGCGTGGGTGGGAGGGCGGATGGACGCGGCGGGACCCGGCCCGCGTTTGCGGTGGCCGTGCCCCCGGGAGCGCCCTTCCACGGGGATCCCGTGATGGCGAGGGCTGCCCGGGGGCGGGGGTTGCCCGTGTGCGGCAGCTCTGCGGCCTGTGAGCTGTTCCTCTGTGCCTCGGCCTCCGGCGTGGGAGCGGCAGCCTGGGGAGCCGAGTCTGGTGAATACAGATTGAAAGAGGGTACAAATGGGTACAAACTGAAAGAGGGGAAATTTAGGTTAGGTACTTGCGGGAAATTCTTTATTGTAGGGTGGTGAGGCACTGGAACAGGGTAGTTGTGGATGCTCCAACCCTGCCAGTGTTCAAAGCCAGGTTGAATAAGACCTTGAGCAAACTGATCTAGTGGGAGGTGTCCTGCCTGTGGGAGGTGTCCCTGCCCATGGCAGGGCGGTTGGGACTAGATGATCTTTAAGGTCTATCCCCGTCCCTTAACATCCTGTGATGCTGTGATCCCGCTCCGCCGGGGCGGCCGTGCCGACCCCCCGGCAGCCGCACGGTGCTGTTTCGCTGCCCATGGGGTGTGAGAGTCACTCGAGCTCTGCTGTGCTCCTTCGAGCAGTTCCTCGGCTTGGCAGTCCAGGCACATGCTCGTCTGAACAGCAGAACAACAGCTCGTCTTTTCAGAGGAATCAGACACTCCAGTCTTTCAAAGGAAATAGAAATGCCCCCGACTGTTTAATGTGAGAAATCCCGTCCTGGCAGGCCAGAGCAATGGCTGTAATCTCAAGAGTTGCAGGGATGGTTTGCTGGCGCTTTTCTAAACAGTCAAAGCCATCACTTGAAAGAGGAGTGACTGTCATGCTGTTGTGAGCATGTCCGTGCCTGGGTGCTGGAGTGGCTCTGCTCGTGCTGACATTCCACCCACACAGGCTTCCCAGGAGTGTGGCAGGCATGTGAGACTGAGATGCACCTAATTAGTGTGTGCCACTCCCCTGGCAAAGCCGTGGTGGTTACTTCAAGTTATCTCTTGGCTCATCTAGTCTTAAAAGGAATGACAGATTTGACAACTGAAGACACTTGGTTTTGCTGACAGATCGCTCTCATCAGCAAATGCATGTCCTCATTCTAAAGATAAATTACCTTCTTTTTCCTTTAGGGAATTTGGCAAGTGTTGTATGGTGACCCTGACCATGCCCTTTTTGGGTTGTAGGCACAGATCCAGAATGGTGGGTTCTGGCAGGGACAGGACCTCAGGGGTCTCGGCAGCCTCTGGGGTAATGCTCTCCTACCAGGACTGCAGTGCGAGCACTGACCTCAACTCAACTGGTGGTAAAACATCAGTGAGTTCCCCAGAGTGTGGCACGTAAACTGAGGTTAAAGGCTGTAACCTGCCAAGGTGCTCCTCTCCCCAGCCATGGCTCTTCATTAGGAGCAGTGTAGTTGTCCTGCAATCAGTCATTCCTCACACTGCAGCTTGCTTTAGGAAAACGGTTGTGCCTCTGCTTAACCTTGATCTCATCTGATGCTCTCTGTAGTTTTCTCCCCAGGTAATTAAAAGGGAGCATGTGGCTGGTATTTCTTTGTCTGGCTTACTGTCCCCAAGGAAGTGTTAATGCTTTGTGCTACTGGCTCAGCAGTGGAGTTCTCTGAATCAAACATCTGCTTCTTTTCATTGTTTTAGGCAGCAAGTGAAGTTCAACATGAGTTTGTTACTGGCTTTGGGAATCTTCAGTCTGGACTCTGCCACGCTGTTGCCTTGCAAGCAGAAAGATGTCACGTGAATTCTAGAGCTACAGAAGTAAATATTTCGTACTGTACTTAAAGGTACTGAGAGAAGCTTCTAGATCTAGAGTTCTGAAGCTGTTTAATGGCTTGCAAATTCTCTTACAGATGGAACAGAACTACATATGATTGCAGTAGTAAGGTTGAGGTTGAAAGTCTAACAAAAGGTATTATGACAGCTATAAAATCTCTTAAGACTTGCTCCCCAGAACAAAGCAGGTGCAATCCAATAATCCTGAAGGAATCAGAAAGGAGAGTTTTGTAATAGTATCAGAGAAACTTGTTTTTAACTGGGGAGAGAAACATGAGTTCTGATTTGAGGCAGTAACCGACGCTAGTTGGAAGTGAGAGACTGAAGTGAAGAACAGTGTGTTCAGCTCACCATCCCTGGCACTTACCCATGTCAGACTTGGAATATATTTCAAAGGGAAAAGCGACTACGGTACTGAACTTTACCTCTAGAAAGATACTTGGCATCTGGGGCTTGAATGTAACAACAGGGAGAGTCCTGGATTTTTGTGCCCAAAGAGAGCTTTTTTTGTCTTGTTCCTGGCTATCCTGAATTCGTTCTGTGGTTAGCAGTTAAAACAAAGGATCTGCTTCTGCTTATGGAAGCACACCCCTTGAGACAAACATAACCAATTCCCTTGTATTTGATACCTGGAAAAAGTGACACCAGTCTTACCAGGGGCAGGAACTTGCTGGCATGATGATGATGACCCTTTGCCGTTTACCCAGCTGAATGTTGTGATGAGCAGTGGTGTATCTGATTTGCCAGCCAGTTGTAGGATTTTTACAGTTTGATTTGCTCCATCATTTCTGATGTTACATATTCTTTTAAAGGTGACATCAGATGACCATCTCCACTGTTTCCCAACCTTGTGTATGCACTCAGAGCCAACAGTAGAGTCCACTGCTAGTCTTCTCATTTTTGCTTGAGAGATCATGGGAGAGACTGTGGAGAGGTAAGGATAAAATGTCGTGCTCTTTTTGCAGGATTTTTTCTGAAGAATACACATTCCTTAATATGGCTTCTCAAAACTAGTGATTTATAAAGGAATTCTATTTCAGTCTATTGTGTTGCTGGCATAATGATGAGAACCTTTGCCGTTTACCCATCTGAAGGGTTTTTGATGTGTATCTTTGAATCTGAAATGCCAGTGAAAGTAATAACTCTCTATAAAGATGGATTAAGGGTACAGAAAACTAACTTTTTTAAATTATTATTGCTCCTAGCTTGAAAAGAGCAGCCTGGAATGTGGAGTTCTAATGCACTTGGAAATGCTTCCATGGCCCTTCCTGCTTCTCAGAAATACCGCTTGATTCAATAATATTGCAGAGAAGTACCTGTTTGCTGAATATGTCTGAATAATCCTGGAATGAAGTTCAGGTGAGAGTGTCACTCTGGAAAGGGAACTGACCTTAGAACTTGGTATGAATATTTGAGTGTATCAAATAAATGGATTAAAAGTGAAAACAGCAAGGGTTAAAACATGTAGGAAAACTCATTATCTTGGCTAGTTTACAATGTTAGTAGTGGGTATGAATAAAATCTTGGATTTCTGTTTTCAGTGACTGTTTTTTGTTGAGGGTATGGGAACAGTAGCACTGTGATATTGCTGGATGACATTCTGTATGGGATTCACACAAACCTTAAATATTCAGCTTGTCCAGATTGACAGGTGGTCTGTACAATTTTACTGCTGCTTTTTTATTTAACATATATCTCTTGGATGTAAAACTTGCTGAGGATTGTCTAGTGCTATATCCTTTCTAGGAAGATGAAATACATAAAAGCCCATAGTTGGGGAAGCATACTGTACCTCAGACACCTCATCTTTTACCACACCATTCTTCACACTTGTTTTTGCAGTGAAGTATAGGTGAACTCATTGAGCTACCTGCCTACCAGGTTGTCTAATATTACCTTTCACTCTCCTGTGGCATTCTGCTATCCCCTGCAGCCTGCATAAAATGATGTGGAAACATGTGGGGAGGTGTTTTTTTTTTTGTGGTTTTTTTTTTTTTTTTAATTGCAGGACCACACTGGCATCCTTGTCTAATACTATGTTGCTGTAATGTAAAAAAAGACACAAAACATGAAGCAGTATGGTGATGCTTTTATACATTTCAAAATTTATACAGCGTGAGTAATGAAAGTTGGCTTAAACTAGGAATAGTTTTAATGTACTTAAAACTACTTAACCCTCTGGGTGATACACTTGAAAAGAAGCAACAAGAAAAACTGCAGTGAATTCACGTAGTTGAAAGGCGCAACATTAGATTCTGAATTTGGGGTTTAAATTTTAGTTGTCTTACTAAAAATCCTGCTTAGTCCTCATTTAACAGTGAATGAACATTTGTAGCCAGAAGGGAGGTTCTGATTGTGGCTATATTCTGGGGCCATGGCCTCCCAGGCTGAAGGCATCCCTCCTGCCTTCAAAGAACACTGTCAAAAAACTAGCAATTCAAATCCTGTTGGATATGCTTTATTCCTTTATAAAACAGCACTGAACTGTCTTAGACAGCTGGTAAGTTTTTTATATTTTTGTATTTCTATCTCAATAAAATAGTCTCTCAAAAAGCCAAAGCTTCAGGCTTTACTCCACAGAGAGGAGTTTTTACTCTTCATTAGCGTTGATGTGAATTCCTGGACCATATGCAGCAATAAACTTCAGGAGTTCATGGTGACACTGCATGAGGTAAATATCTCTCTGTTGCAGGGAGTTTTCATCACTGAGGTCAAATGGAAATACAGAATTTGGTGCTACACATAATGCAGATGTGCCTAAGCAAAGAAGAAATCAAGACTTAGGCTGAAAGACTTGATAAATTTTAGCCAGTACTTTGAGATGAAAAAAGTGTGACACAGATTCTATAGTAATGCAGTCTTCTGTGTTACCATTTTTAACTGTTACATCATAATTCTAACCTTGTTTCTAAAGCTGTGTGTGAACAACTGTGACTGTGATGCTTGATAAACAAACTAAAAAATCCCAACCCTTGTTTTCAGCTTCTCCAAGAAGGGAAATCTATCCTTTAACCTGACCAGTGTTAGAGGAGCAATACCTCAAATAAACCAGCATGAAGGACAGACTTGGTGCTGGCCTGTGGCCTAATTATGTAGAGCGCTGAGGCTCAGCAGGGAAGCCAATTGACAGACTTTTCCAATACCAACTTCAACAGTGGAAACTCTGGATTTTGATTTGAAATGACCTATTACTGCAATCAATTGATACAAACGTTTTTCAAACTAACAAACATGAATAACCTAAAGACTGAGTTGCATTATTTACCGTGTTTTAGGGTAAGAGATGACTCAAGTAACAAGATGGCAATCAAAGCATCTTCCTGAAGTACTGTGTGTCTTAAACTTAGCTTGGTATGAGCCTTAGACAGTGAAATCCTAAGAGATCAATATAAGCATGTCAGAAATAAAAAATACTGCAGAAGTGAATGCAATGTGTATTGCCCTGTTTCAAGCACTTGTGTAAATCAAAAGTTAACACTGAAGTGTTTTCATACTTCAGCTGTGCAGTTATACTTGCCACTGACAATATACACATTATGCTATGAAAGCAGTAGAAGTTGGCATATTATCTATTGTTAATACTTGTTTTGCTCCCATAATAAAGCTGTGGATATTTAAATCCCATTTTTGTTTTTCTAGATAGCTTCAATAATAATACTTGTTTTGTAAATCACTGTTGTATTTTTTGCTTGGAAAAGTTCTTTGAACTTGGATTTCTTTTGGCATTCATAAGCGATAAATAAGATCCTTTATGCTTGACCTTTTCAAAACATAAGAGTCTTATCTAGATTTTTATTAAGCAAGCTCTTGACCAGATTAGCACAATTTCTCTTTGAAACACAGGTGTGTTTCCCTTACTGTGAAAAGCAGGACTCACAGAATTTTTAGTGCAGATGCTGATAATGTTGATCCATGAACGGAATCCCTTCTCACCCTGCGACTTGCAAGATAGTAGCCTTGAATGAGGTTCTCTGCTTCTGAACTCAGTTCAACATGAAGATTCTTAGCAAACAAAATAAACTAGAGAGAGAGGGTATACAGTGAAAATATTTAACTGTAAAAAAAAACTTGAAATTTTTTCACACCTTTTAACATACCAGTGGCATAGTAATATAGGCTGTACAGTATTATAAAAACTATTGGTAGAAAACAGAGACAGTTGTCACCATTTGACTGCTGAAAAGGGAAAATATTTAACATAATAAGGATAGATCTAGGATAGTAAACATAGGATGGGTTTGGGGTGGAAGGGACCTTAAAGATCATCTAGTTTCAACTCTGCCATGGGCAGGGACATTTTCCACTAGATGGGGTTGCTCAGAGCTCCATCCAACCTGGCCTCGAACACTTTGAGGGAATCATCTCTTAATTATACTAGAGATATGATAATTTATGTAGAATGGAATATTAACTTGTAATACTGGTTATAAACTTTTCTTGTCAAAAGTAGCCATAGAAGATCTGTTCTCATATGAATCTTAACCTAGTATGGTTTCCAGAAATATGATCAAACTGAATTTATTATGCTGACCCTTTTAAAGAACTGGAGTTGCTACTTTTGATGATCCTATTAGTGCTAGTGAGAATATGGGAGGGGGAAAGGACAGAAAGTGAGTATCAAAAATAAGTAATCAGACTGTGCAGAGAGAACCCTCTGATGCCAAAACCAGTATGATATTCCCAAATATAATGCATGTCTAAATTATTGTGTACAATCTGTTACCTCCTCATAATCCTGTGTTCTGAACTGCTGTGAGACTTTGTACAGCATGGCTTCAGGATTAATGGCTTTTTTTAAGATATGGTGTACAAGAGGAGAAGATAGTCGACACGAAGGAAACTCATTGTATATCAAGAGCCCAAAAACATCTACAAGGTTAGCTGGAATCAAACTCATGTCCTAAAGAGAAGACCCAGAGAACAAAAACAATTACTTTATTTTGGGCTTTTGACTTGTAGAAACATCGCAGTGTTTTCCATCTGAAATATTCAATATTCATTATACTGCAAGATTATCCAATGAATTTACTTATAACAGTAAAATTTTGTTTCACTGATCCCTATGTTTGGGAAAGCTACCTCATTTTAGAAGATACTTGATTTAAAGTCACTAAAGTTGTGACTTTCCTGGAAATACTAACAAGTTTAATTGTTTTCATTATTTTATCAGTTGAAATAATAATAAACACAAATAACAGCTATAATACAGTTCCTGTCATAATAAGGCATGTGCTTTACCATTTGTCCAATTAAAAAGTTCTCCTTCTGTATATGTTTCTTCGAGGAAGAATCCACATCCACAAAAGACCAAAAATTGGTCTGAACTGAAATAGTAACTTGTTGGTCAGCTTCTTCTCCGTACTTCTTCCCAGGAATAAATACTGTTGTTGTTCTGCTCTCTAGTACTAGGATAAGATAAAACTAATCAGTTACATAGTCGATTTAGCTTGACTATAAATTGTAGTACTACACACATTATCGGAAACCAGTCACGATTATGATTTCACAGAATATGCTGAGTTGGAACAGACTGACAAGGATCATCAAGTCCAACTCCTGGCTCTGCACAGGACCAATCCTCAAGAGTCACACCACGTGCCTGAGAATATCATCCAAATGCTTTGTGAATTCTGTCAGGCTTGGTGCTGTGACCACTTCACTGGGGAGCCTGTTCCAGTGCCCAACCACCTCTGGGTGAAAAGCCTCTTTCTAATATCCAACCTAAACCTCCCCTGACACAGCTCAGGCCATTCCCTTGGGTTCTGTCACTGGTTACCAAAGAGAAGAGATCAGTGCCTGCCCCACCTCTTCCCCTCACAAGGAAGTTGTAGACTGCCAAGGTCTCCCCTGTCTTTTCCAGGCTGAACAGACCAGTCAGCTCAGCTGCTCCTCATATGGCTTCCCCTTAAGGCCCTTCACCATCTTTGTTGCCCTCATTTCTCTGAATTGCCAAGACTAATGGATCGTGGTAGTGCAGCAAATACAAGTTTACAGGACCTTGGCTTTTTTGTCCTTATTTCTTGCACAGACTCATTAAAAACAGCTTATGGATTTTTGAAGCATTTGAGGCCTGTTAGCTGGGGATCAAACCCAGCTGTGAATTTCTGTGTTTGTTTAGTTCTCTCCCCTCATCTGTTTGGAGGTGGGAGATTACCAGACTGTAGAAGTTCAAGTTTATCCTTTTTATATGAAGATAAGTCTCCTATGTAACAGACACCACCCTTGGCCAGCACAGCGCTGCAGGCTTGAATACTGGCACTTCCAGTTCCATGTTTATCTTTGGACACAGAAGGAAAAATTTCACTGGAAGGTGGGTGTCGTATGCCACGAGGCAGAAGGCATAAACTGTAATTCAGAAGCCTGCAGGATTAAATAATGCTGTCAGTCATAAGTTCTTAAATTATTGTTCACTTTTAAAAAAACTTAATACCATACTTAATATATATAAATAGCATTATAAAGTATTAAGACTCACTTAGATTCAACAAGAAAAAACCCCTTAATATGGAACCAGTGTCAAAACTAAATGTTTAACTTCAAATGCAAAGGTAGAGCTCCAAGCTTTCTCTCCAACAGCTGCCAACAGGATGGTATTTCTTATGGATTAAACATGAGGCAAACCATGGTTTGCAATATAAGTGATTTCTAGGAAGTCAAAGAAGTCTCATAATAACCCCATATTGTTAACTCCTCTTTCTATTCTAGAGATACTTTTCCAGTGATTTAAAAGGTAAGAGGATTAGTAATCCTGGCCATCTGGGAAAAATGAAAAGGCTGGAACTTCTAAGCTCTGCCTTCTTGGCTTACACCCCCACCTCCCCAATTCTTTTGGAGAAAGAAGGTATAGAATATCTTTTTCATCCCCTGTACTATGTTCCTTGGCACAGAGATGTTGCAAATTGTCTGTCTGGTTCCACGATCAAAGCTTTCTAATGATTTTAAGATGTCAGAGCATGGTTTATCCTACTGTTAATACCAGAGAGAAAATGATTGAGCAAAACTGGTAAGTATTAGTAAACAGAGTATCACACTAATAGATATATGATGTAGGAAATGGCTACTTTGACAGGCTGCTGATGGTAAAATACTGTGCACATGCAAGACAGTACAGATTACAATATTGATCAAGATTTACAGTGTGCAACTCTTTTAATATTAACCAGATGTTTTGATTCTTAAAACACTCTGAGCTCCTGCTTCTCCTATGAAATCTTACTCTAAACCTGGGGAAAAAAAAACTTGCAGCCCACATTTTTTAAATTTGAACTAGTTTTTCTACAGTTAAATTTTGAAATGGTCTAAGTATTTTTTTCCCACAACATAAAATATTAATGAATTTTTTTAAGAATTTCCAAATTAAAATAAGGTTCGTGCCACTTTCAAAAATCTTTTTCAAAAATGAAAGTGAAGCCCTATTTTGATCTTGGGAAGAAGAAAGCAGTTTTGTTTAAGATAATGTAATTTTAAAGATGAACACATTGTGCTTTTCAGCAGTTTATATAAAATTGCGTTTACAGTTTATAGTTGTACTCAGAGGTAAATACATAAAATGGGAAAATATAGAAAAATGTTTAGTTAAAGGCAACAATAACTGGATTTATGGTCGACATGTAAAGATGTGTGTGACTTGTGATACCTTATCAGTACAGTTATTATGAAAAAGAGAGATAAAAATGTGAGTAACGATTTACACACGGCTTATTAACTGAAAATGCTGATGGCTGGGAACCAGTGCTGGAAAGGCTTCAAGTGACACAAGATTTTAAAAGTTTAGTCCTTTGTTTTTATCATTACCAGCTCCTGGGACAGTCTTCAGTTTTGATTTTAGAATAATGTTTTGTTTGAGCTCTGCTGAACAGTGCTAGGGCTGAATTCTTATTGCTATCATTATGAGAGTGGTAAGAGGGTTTATTATCAGTAAAGTTGTGATCCACATTTATCATTTGAAAGAAATAAAAATGTCTCAGGGAAAAAAAATTATTACTTTTACTAAGTTTGAGCCTTGCATTTTTTTTTAATATATAGTCTCTAGCTTTTCATGTAAGACCGATCCTATTGTCTTTAAAAATACTAATTTTAAATTCTAATTTATGTGAAAAATAAGGAATCTCTTTACCTATCAATTACTAGTGTGTCACTTGTCACAATCAACAGATCCAGATAATCTGCATTTTCTTTTTCACATGTCTGTACTAGACTCAGCAATATTGCAAGTTTAAGAGTATTGTAAGTGCCTGGTGGAACAACTTGAGAAGCAAAGATGTTGGCCAAGACAGCAGTAAACCTCCAGCATGAACTTGAAGTCAATGAGAGCAGATACTTAAAATTGTCACTGAGAAAAGAAGGACCTAATGGAAACAAAGTAGAGGTTAACAAACACTTAAGAGAGACTTATGCGGATATATTAGAACAAATCACTAATTAATTCTAGTCTTGATACAAAACTTAATTAATATGTTTCTGTATTAAGCACAAATTCAGAATGTAAACATCTGACAACTGTACTACTAAAAAGTAGTAAAGGTAAAAAGTAAAAAGGTTGAAGGGAATAACAAACTCAAATATCAGGTTCATTTAACATGATTTCAAAGCGCCTTCCAATGGATAGGAGAAGTTGGAAAGAGAAGTTGAAAAACTGCAGTAAATAATTAGGTAGTTTCCCAATGCATGGAAAGTGGGCAAAAGCAGATATTATCAAATAACAGCAAGTACACATTTCAGCCTGCAAGAGGAAAGTCCCTGAGTGGTTTTGTAAT